ACCTATCCCCTCCTCCCACCTCAAGCCGCACCTCCATCTCCTACCGACCAACCTCATCCCGCCCCCTTGACCTGTCCGTCCTCCCTGGACTGACCTATCCCCTTCCTAACTCCCTACCTACACTCACCTTTCCTGGCCCCATCCCCGCCTCTTCGACCTGTTTGTTTCTTCTCCACCTATCCTCTCCTCCATCCCTCTTCTATCCGCCTCCCACTCTCTCCCTATTTATTTCAAAACCCCCTTCCCCTCCCCCTTTTCTGATGAAGGGTCTAGGCCCGAAACGTCAGCCTCTCTGCTCCTATGATGCTGCTTGGCCTGCTGTGTTCATCCAGCCCTGCACCTTGTTGTCTCTAATATTCCAGAGACTTGGTTTCGAATCTCACCATGGCAAATGGTGGAATTTGAATTCAATAAATATCTAGAACTAAGCGTCTAATGTTGACCATGAAACCATTGTCAGGAGAAAAAACTCGAAACGTTAGCTTGCTTTCTCTCCACCGATGCTGTCTGACCTGCTGTGATCTCCAGCATTTGCTGTTTTCAGTACAGATTCCAGCACCTGCAGTAATTTGTTCCCATTTGTCACTTCAGTGAGTTTTACAATCCTGGTCCACCACAACCAGAGACTACAGTGGAATATCTCCGCTGTAGTAGAGTGGTCAGGACTGTACCTGAGCAGACAGGGAGTGGGACAGGCCCAATAAATGAGCTTGTTAAACTGCACCCCACACAGTCCAACTCAGCAACAGGCCTCATACAGTTTTCAGAGCTGATGATCATGAAAGAAGTAATTATTTAAAATAATATGCCTCATTTCAGAAACAACAAGCATTCCGTGGCAGAGAGGGCCATTAACAGTTTCCAGAAGCAGTAAGTATTTTTCATTTGAGTTTCTTCTATTTAGAATTAGGCTCCAATTTAGGGCATTGGCTTTATCTTTTCGATGTTTATTGATGGATGATGAAGGGAAGTTTTTAAAATAATCTGTAACTTTATGAAGATCAGCTCACCGAAAGTAAGAAAGGGCCTACAATGTTCCCACACACTGAATTTGACAAATTTGGATTCAGGTTGCTGCTAATTGACAGCAAATGCGTAGCTAAGATATAGTGTTTCTCCGATGAAGCAGCTAACTTGTAAATATATCTTTCTAAATTCAACGTTGCTGTGCCAGAATCCTGAATCCTCCCCCTGCCCCCCACCCCACTGATGGCATTGAGGCTGTCCCTACACCACAAGAACTGCCGTGGGTCAAGAAGGCAGCTCAAGATGGGCAACTAGGGACGGGGAATAAATGCTGGCCCAGCCAGCAACGCCACGTCTTGTGAAAAAATTAAAAAAGTTATTGGGTTACCTTGCCAAAGGTTTAAAAATCTGTTTATCGGGCATCTTAGCCTATCATTGTTGCACGTTTTTGGATTTTTCAAATATTTTTAAATAATTATGTAAACATGACAAGGATCTTGAAAAGTTTTAAAATCCCCATTTTATATCATTTTACTTAGAAGGCCGCACTAAGATTGGAATTAACTCAGTCTAACTATTATGTGTTTATTTCTAAGTGACACATGTTAACAGGACATTTGCAATGGCATTCCCTGTGTATTCATTTTGTTCTTTATTCATTTGTGGTCTGGGCCCAGCATTATTTGCCCATCCCTAGTTGCCCCTTGAGGAGGTGGTGGTGAGCTGCCTTCCTGAACCGCTGCAGTCCAAGTGCTGTACTTTGACCCACAATGCCTTAAGGAGGGGAAGACCCAACGATGACAGGTCAGTCACAGCTCAGTTGGAGTCACAATGTCCCGCTCCAGGACTTGAGCATAAAAGATGACACTCCAGGAGGTACTGAGGGAGTGCTGCACTGCCAGAGGTGCAATCCTTTGGGCGAAATATTAAAGTCAGGCCCTTTTTGGCCTCTTGGGTCAATGTAAAAGATGCCATGGTGTTATCCTGAAGAAGAGGAGGGAGTTCTCTCAATGTTTTGGTCAATTTTGCCCCTTAATCAACAACAAATATCTTATCTGATCATTATTACATGTGCGTTTGTTGGAATTATCCTGTGTGCATTTTGCCTACCACATTTTCCAATCATATCATCCACCATGAGAGTTTTCCCTGGGGATTCTCCCTCTAGTTTCAGTTGGGTAATCCCTGTAGGCATGTTTAACCCCTGCCTGACAAACCAAACTTTTAAACTGATCTCCCAATCACATTTCACAGGATGAATGATTGAGGCAGTATTTTTTCTGCTTAAGATCCAGTCCCAACCAACAGCTGTCCCCTTACTTTTCCCCTTGATCAACTAGATCAAGACTAAAATTGCAATGATCCCTCCATCTGTGAGATTTCTGGGTTTATACAGAAGCCTGCACCCTGATCTCAAAATGGCTTCCCCTGCACTCCTCTCCCTAGCAACAGTAGCCAAGTATCCAAGTGACAATGTTATTAGCTATCTCTAATTACCACTGCTTTGCATCTTAGAATCAAAGGAACGGGATAGCTTAACCTAATAGTATAACTACCTTTCTGGATTTTTGGACAATTAGGGTCTCCTTGTTCTAGATGGGGAAACAGCTATCATTATTCACAATCAGCACCTCTGTTCAAATATTCATCGTGACTCCTCTTTTTAATTTCACAACAAATGACCCAGTTTAACTCTCAGACAGGCTCCACAATGGTCACTGAAATCATGATGAAAGTTCCGAACCATGAAAATCTTATAAACCAAATAATGCCAGTCCTAAAACATAACAGTGGTATAAACCTCGCACAGCATACCTCTGGGAAAAAAAAACCCTGGACAGATCCAAATGCAGAGGTGCCAGTCTGTGAGCAAACTTAACCTCAGAGCAGAACAGACACAGGTTGCAAGAGGACAAGACAGAGGCCTGAAAAGCCAATGATTCCACCCATCTCTCTAGCACTGCTTTGAAAGGTAATAATTGCACTCAAATCCACAAATCAGAACTTGGCTTCACATCAGCTGCTGATACTGGTCTCCACGCTGAACTTTCAACCTTTGGAATAAGAGAATCCATCAATGTTTTAATAATTCTATAATTGCTTTTAATGCGTCAGCTGTCATAATAGGCATAAAGTACAAAGCTTTATAATGGTGCTAAGTAAATGCACCCTTGCAAATTTAATGAGATTGCAAATTAGGCAACTTGTTATGAATTGAAATCCCAAGATTTCAGATCCCAAGATATAAAATACCACAGGAAGAACTGATTCTCAGCTTACATACAAACGGGATCTGAATAGTTAGGTGCTGGTGTTTGACTCAGACAAACTCGATGGGCTGAAGAGCCTTTTACTCTGCTGTAGACCCCTGTGACTTTATTGTACTCTCTCCCTATGTCCAGGTATTGAGATCGCCGAAACACACAACGTTGTACATCCTGCATATGAGCGCACTTGGATGTGGCAGATAGAGAACACGTCTGGACAGAAAACATATAGGTATTGTGGAATGGAGTTGCTCACTATATTGATCAGGGAGAGTCATAACTCTGAAGAAGGTGTCTGGTTGAAAAACAGACTGAAGTCCCTTTGACAATGGAGAGAATTACAGGGAGGAACTATACTTTCTCCCGCACTGATGCGCTGTAGTGGGAATACCATTAGTCTAGCGGCTCAGGCGAATCTCCTGGTGACATGGGTTCGAATACCCCCACAGCAAATTCAAATTCAGTTTATAAAATCTGGAATATAACAGGTCATTGTGACCATAGAGTTACCAGCAGTTGCTGTAAAGACCCATCTGGTTCACTAATGCCCTTTAGGGAACGAAACTGCCATCCATTCCTGGTCTGGCCTTCATGTGACTCCAGACGCACAGCAAATTTGAGACAGGCAATGAATACTGGTCATGCTAACTCAAACAAGGATAGAGGAAACAATTTCCACTCTCCTGCTGTTTTTATCCACATCTTGGGGAGTTTGCCCACCTCCTCCTTAAATGTACTGAATCTATTTGTTGTTAGCTCATCTGCAGAGCAGTAATATTTCATCCATTGTCTAGGCTAAGACTTCTCCACTGAATTGCCCTTTGGATTAGTTGATGACTATCGTGCCTGCTCATTCTGCTTTTTCCCACCAGCACAGACACCTTCACTGTTTCTGGCCTGTCCTTTAAGATCTCAGACTGGTCTTTCTATAACTCTGACCCAATACATAATGACAAGAACTATCCTTCCGATTACAAATGCTTTATGGAGAACGGTGCAGGACAGCGAAAGGAAAAGATCATTTGCCTTCAGAGAGATGCAAAGCAAGCAGCATAATCACTGCCCCGAAGATCTTTATTGAATTGGTTGAGCTTGTGGGATGGAGGATCTTAAGATTCTCAAACTCCCTTCCATTGCTCGCCGTTGAAATGTTATTTAAATTGGGGGTTGACCCAACATTATTTCTAAAACTTGCTGAGTGGTCACTACCAATCACAATGGCAGGAAAGCCATTTTCCGTAACTGGGGAGTCATGGAATCCCTACAGTGTGGAAGCAGGCCATTCAGCCCATCAAGTCCACACTCGACCCTCTGAAGGGCATCCCACCCAGACCCACCCCCATTTCCCAGGGTCAATCCACCTAGCCTGCACATCCCTGGATACAATGGGCAATTTAGCATGGCCAAGCTACCTAACCTGCACAAATTTGGGCTGCGGGTGGAAACTAGAGCACCCTAAGGTAAACCTGGGCAGAGACACCAGAGGCTGGCATCGAACCCAGGTCTCTGGTACGGTGAGGCAGCAGCATTAACCACTATGCCACCCAAGAGCCCTCTGGCAAATTAAAAGGGAGAGTAAGAGACTCCATTGGAACCTACCATTGGAGAATTGATTGGGTGCAGTACTGGATTTAAAGCGAACGGGGAGCAATTCTGTCTGAACCTGCAGCTCTTCCTCTGATGAAGATAACTTTTAATGACCCTCGCAGAGTTGAAACTCAGGAGTTCTTGAAGCTGGATTCTCTTGATTTGAGTCCCAATGAATCTAGTCACAAGTGTGCTGAAAGTTACGCTTTGTGTAATTGTGAGCAAACAAATTGTGGAACATTTAACTGAAATATCCTTTTGGAAAGGTGAGATAAGGAAGAGCATCCTATTTCTATTTTCACAGGTTAACATCAGATATCAACCCTCCCCAGTTCTGGGAAATTAGTGCTTTCAGAATAGCAGAAGACGGTGGTAAGTAATCTAGAGATAGAATATATCCATTTAATCAGCTCATAAATCCTGTTCGGTGTGATAATTTAGTGACTAACTGAAATTGATGATTGTCATAGTGTCATAGAGTCATACAGCACTGAAACAGACCCTTCTGTCCAATCAGTCTGTGCTGACCATAATCCCAAACTAAAGTAGTCCCACCTGCCTGCTCCTGGCCCATATCCCTCCAAACCTTTCCTATTCCTATAACCCACCTAATCTACACATCCCTGAACACTACAGGTAATTTAGCATTGTCAATCCACTTAGCCTGCCCATCTTTGGACCATGGGGAGAAATGAGCACCCAGAGGAAACCCACACAGACACAGGGAGAATATGCAAATTCCACACAGACAGTCACCTGAGGGTGAATTTGAATCTGGGTCCCTAGCGCTGTGAGGCAGCAGCACTAATCACTGAGCAACTGTGCCACCAGCTAAATTCAGCACACCCCAGGTGGGACTTGAACCCACAATCCCTGGCTTAGGGAAGCCAATGCCTTATCCATCAGGCCACTGGGGCCCTACTGTCCATGTCACTCCAGAAGCCTGTTGCTGTAACAATGTAGCACCATTGTTGTCTGCCTGACCGTTGTGAAACTTGAAAGGGTTCAGAAAAGATTTCCCAGGATGTTGCCAGGATTGGAGGGTTTGAGCTACAGGGAGAGGCTGAATAGGTTGGGGCTATTTTTCCTGGAGCGTCAGAGGCTGAGGGGTGATCTTATAGAGGTTTATAAAATCATGAGGGGCATGGATAGGGTGAATAGCCAAGGTCTTTTCCCCAGGGTAGGGGAGTCCAAAACTAGAGGGTATGGGTTTAAGGTGAGATGGAAGGATTTAAAAAACCTAAGTGGCAACTTTTTCACACAGCGGGTGGTGCATGCATGGAATGAGCTGCCAGAGGAAGTGGTGGAGGCTGGTATAATTACAACATTTAAAAGGCATCTGGATGGGTACATGAATGGGAAGGGTTTAGAGGAATATAGGACATATGTTGGCAAATGGGACTAGATTAATTTAGGATATCTGGTCGGCATGGATGAGTTGGACCAAAGGGTCTGTTTCCGTGCTGTACATTTCTATGACACTAATAATGTCAATGCTGCAGTGCTTTAGAAGGAACTTTACAGGATACTTGAAACTCTTTTCTTTATTGTTTCCTGGTTATCAAGATGCTTTATAGCTGTCTAGACACAATGTCCAGTTCATTGTTGTTGATTCTGCAGGAGTTGTGTCTGAATATTTATGAAGCTAGCTTCAAGAGGGACACTAAAGTTTTTTTGATATTCTTCCCATTGACTCCAGACAATGCAACAGAGATATTTCATGTGGAATTCCTTGAGCATTCTTCATCAAAAGAGAATTTTGCAGAGAAGAATGGATTCCCTTAAGAATTACTTCAGATTAGAAAAGTTCATATTGATTAGGTGACTGTAAACTGGATTACATTAGAATACACTGTATGTAATGTCAGAGTAATTCAGAGGAGAGCAAATGACATTAGAGCAGATTGGACAAATGCAAATTAGATTGAAATAGATTGTAACTGATAGTTGGATTAGATTCATTGAGATTAGAATGGATTGGATCAAGTTAGGGAGTAGATTAGGTGATTAAATTAATTTGGCAATCACTTAAGAACTTAGAAACTACATGTAACAATAACAATTTATATTAGCATACTTAGCGTCACAAAACACCCGAAAGCACTTCGAGTCATAGAGTTGGACAGCACGGAAACAGGTCCTTCAGTCCAACTCATCTGTCCCATCCAGATTTCTTAAATTAATCTATTCCTAGTTGCCAGAATTTGGCCCATATTCCTCTAAACCCTCCATATTCATGTCCCCATCCAGATGCCTTTTAAATGTTGTGCCTCCACCACTTCCTTTGGCAGCTCATTCCATACACACACCACCCTCTTATGTAAAAGTTGCCCCTTAGATACTTTTAAAATCTTTCCCCTCTCACCTTAAACCAAGCCCACTGGTTTTTGATTCCCCTACCCTGGGGAAAAAGACCTTGGCTATTCACCCTATCCATGCACCTCATGATTTTATAAACCTCTATAAAGTCACACACTCAGCCTCTGTCACTGCAGGGAAAATAGCCTTTTCCGCCTCTCCTTATAGCTCAACCCTCCAACCACGGCAACATCCATGTAAAACTGTTCTCCACCCATTCAAGTTTAACAACATCCTTCCTATATCAAGGTGACCAGAATTGAACACAATATTCCAAAAGTGGCCTAATCAATGTACTGTACAGCCACAACATGACCCTCCCAACTCCTATACTCAATGCACTGACCAATAAAAGCAAACACCTTTAAACTGTCCTGTCTATCTGTGACTCCACCTTCAAGGAACTATGAATCTGCACCCCAAGATCTCTTTGATGGCAACACTCCCCACGACCTTACCACTAAGTATATAAGTCCTGCCCTAATTTGCCTTATTAAAATACAGCACCTCATATTTAGCTAAATTAAATCTATCTGCCACTCCTCGACCCGTCAGTCCATCTGATCAAGGTCCCGTTGTACTACAAGATAATGTTTTTTACTGTCCACTATACCACCAATTTTGGTGTCATCTGCAAACTTACTAACCATTCCTCCTATATTCACAAGAGTCACCTAAAATATGACATGGAACCACATCAGGAGACATTAGTTCAGGTGAGCAAGTCTATTTGGACATCCACTGTATTTAACGTCACATCTTCTAGAAAGCATTCAGATCTATACTTTTTCATTCCAAAATGAATAATCTCTCACTTGCTTACAATGAACTCCATCTGCCACAGTTTTGCCCATGTGCTTAGTCTATGAATATCCCTTTGTAAATGTATGCTATCATTTATACTGTCTACTACCAATTTGAGTACCTATAATTTGAGAGCCGTTATCCCTGCTTTCTGCAGCCTGCCACTCAACCAATTTCTAAGCCATGTCAATAATTTGCTCTCAATTTCATGGGCTTCAAACTTAATTAACTGTCTCCTTATGTGGCCTCTGGAAGTCCATATAAACAACATCCAAAAACATCTGCCTATCCACTACCTCAGGCACCTCTTCAAAACATTGTGAGTTTTATCAGGTTTGACTTACTTGTCATGAATCCATGCTGGCTGTCCCTGGTTTACTGAAAATTTTCAAGTTATTCAGTTACCCCATCCTTGATAAAAGATTCCAACAGTTTCCGCACCACAGGCCAGTTAGGCTAACTGGTGTGTAATTCTCTAGCTTTTCTCTTTCACCCTCCGTCAACAGGAGAATAACACGTGCAATTTTACAATCCAGAGGAAGACTCCTGCATCTAGGGAAGTCTGAAAAATTTTCACAAGGGCACCTAAAATGTGCTGCCTTACTTCCTTTAACAACCTCGGATGGAAAATGAGGGAGTTGTCTCTCTTTAATTCCACTCATTTCCTCATTACCAATGTTTTACTTATGTTAATTTTATTCAGTTCCTGTCCCCAATCCACTATTGATTTCGTCATGATTTCCAGCACACTATCCTCCCTTTACCACCATAAATACTGAGGCAAAGTAACTTTTCATGTTCCCATGTATCTGCTAAAGTTTTAGAAGTAGCATGGGTCCAGGGATAGACTGCTGAGGGAAGTAAACTACCAGTGCGTTTAGCAGGGTGACTAATTTATACGTCTTTTCTTATTTCAAGAAGTGTGCATTGTGAAGCCTCTGATAATGAGGATAAATGACAGCATTTAGGATTCTCCTAAATTGGATGACCAATTCTGCAGACCGAGAGTTACATTAAAGCGGACAGGCCTTTCATCGTGGATGTTCAAGACCAAGAATGCTACAATATATAACTTTGTGATTTCACCAAACTATCTTCATAACTTCCTATTCCATTGTCCCAAAGATAAGAAATGTAGACCATTCAAAGGCTGATGTTGTCTCCCATGCGACTGGATGATGCATCAGCAGCAAGTTAAATAATCTGCTACGTTAAATAAAATGCTTTTATTGTCACCTATGGCTCTGTGCTCAATTGTGTTTGAAATCACTCCTTTTTCTACATTGCAAGGCACTGTATCCTCAAGCCTTCATTCTATTCCCTACTAAGAGCCTGTCAAACTCAGCCTTGAGTAATCTCAATGGGTCCAGCCTCTACTCTCGCTAGAGAAGAGAATTTCACAGACTAATTTAAGATGACTTCAGAAAAGAGAAACCAAATGGCAGTAAACAGTTCCCAGATTGAATATATAAGATATAAAAATGCCATGTGATCAGTTACTGTTTTCAAACAGTGAGACTGAAATATCTCAAGGTTATTACGCAATCAGGATGCCACTCGATAGTGAAGTCAGGATGTACATTGAGAGAGAGAATGAAAGGGAGTGAAAGAAAGAGGAAGGGGATGGTGATACTGAGCCCCCCTCCTGGATAATTGAAGGCCAGCAGAGCTAAAGCCTCCAGGTGCCTTTGTTTCTGCATGTGTGTTTTTGCACAGTCCTCCTTCCAAGATGCATCACTTCACACTTATGAGCACTTAGGTAAGTCTACCATGTGTCTTTCTGTTTCACCACACTGCTTAAGCCCTCCTGAAATATGTGGCTATTCTCTTTGTTCCTTACCTCTTGTGAAATTATGCCTTGTGAACCTAAGTCCAGCTTGTGAGCATGTATTAGAAAAAGCAGTGATGAATACAAACCCAAGGGCAACTACAATGCAGGTTTATTACATTCAGGCTGGGATCTCTTACTTGTTATATCACCCTGTCATTGTTCTCTCTCTCCTTCTCTCAACCTGGATCAAAGGAACTGATTGGTACGGAGATGTCAACAAAGAGAGGAAAATAGGGATTGAGCAACTAAAGTGCGGAGAGAAAGAAGGAAACGAGAAAGACAGAGAAAGGGAGAAATATAGAGAGCAATCATCAGAACAATGCAACATTTCCTCACTCTATTGCCTCCTTCACTGTTTCTCTCTCTTCTTCCCCCTCTGTCCCAATGTTTCACTCTCCAAACCTATCGCTTGTACATCTGTGAGTGATATGAAGCTTGAAAGCATTGTGTACCAAGAGAAGTCTAGTGTAGAACATCTAAAGGATGTGGACAGATCAATGCAATGGGTAGACAAGGTCAGATTAAACTTAATGCAGGGCATTGTGGAGTAATTCATTTTGGTAGGTATTATGACTATGGTACAAGGAGTGCACTGATAATCAAAATCCATGAATCCACCAGTCACAGCGTTATTGTAAACATGAGATAGTAGGAACTGCAGATGCTGGAGAATCTGAGAT